TAAGGTGCAAAAAGAAATTACATGTGGCTTATCCAGGTAGTCTAGACTTTAGATAACCTAACTTAAACTATGCTGGGTCCATCTATATGATGTGCATTCTAGGTATCAGTGGCGCCTAAGAAATATTTTCCAGGTGTAGTAAGAAATAATCTCGGAAATAATTTTACCCACCCACCCCTTCAAATACTCAAAATTATATTATTTTATACATTTTATCATATTTTAATTTATAATAAAAGTAAATAGGTACCAACYAATATGATTRATAATGAAGATATTTCTATCCACCTACCCTTATTTTCAAGGTGTAGCGACCATTGCATCTAGTAATAGGGTTGGGTGCCACTGCTAAGTATACCTAACTGTTTCTCTGTAGGTAGGTTCAATTTACTTGTAGGTACTTTTTATATAGAATCAAATATCAATTTTAAAAGATCAAAATACATATAACTATTTATAATAGGTAAAATACCGGGTAAAATACACATTAGTAAATACGAGGTAGGTAGGTAAATATCGAGGTAAATATTATTTTTTCAAAATTTCTTTTAGTGAACATTTTTAAAATCTGTGTTTAATTTTTTACTTATACGTAACTACATTAATATCTAATACTTATATTGGATTGGTCCAAATAAAAATAAACCAATACCATGTGGTTTTGAATAGTGATTACAGATTTTAATATTACATTAATACAAAATACATTTATAGTTTATACACAAATTAATAATATAATATAATATAATTTGCATGGCATATATGATATTAACTTCATTCTTCATATTATAGTCATTATACTTAATAGTTAATATATTGTATATTCACAGAAACAGGAAACAGGAAACTCTATAACCAGTAGAGGTACCTTGTATGTATTTTTGAATTTGGTTTTTTAGGAACATGAAACTAGATTACTGGGCTAATTAATCTAATTTAAAATTTTTTCAATTAATGCATTTTATTAGTTATGTGAAGTTATCCTTTAAAAAAAAAGTTTTTTGCCGTAGGTACCTATCAATTTACATTTGAAAAATTGTTTAAACCTGTTATTTTCTAAAGGGTGTTAGATAATCTAATCACTATGAAGGTTGTAATTCATCAATATGACTTCAGTTAAGAAGATATTATAAAAAAGTTAGGTATCACTTAATAGTTWAAAATTATAAAATTTAATTTAGTAGATAGCTTGGTAAGTAGGTAGGTACATAGAAAATTTAAAAAAGTATATTTTGGTATCAAGAAAAAGAAAATGAATATTCAAYGTTAATAATATTATTTAACAATACCTACATTCATTTTATTTGTATATAATATGCAATAGTATATTTGATAATTAGCTCATCAGTTAGATAAAAAAATTTGATTTAAAATTCAATTTCAATCAATACACATCAAAGACTCTAAAAATTTGTTAGTGAAAGTGGTTCTAAAATAAGAAAAAAAAATCCTGTTGTGGTTATTATGCAGAATATATGAGTTAAAGGTAAGTCAGAAGTTGATTGCTCGGAAGTATAAAGTTTCTTTCATATTCCGTAAACATATTTCAAAAATATGTATATGATGATGAGTTCTTTGTTCTCATGGACACGTGGTTTATTACTCCAACTATTTCTAATCATTATTTATTACTAGGTACAATGTATTATTAATAATATTAAAGTGCATTTCYTTGTAGGTAGAATTATATTTATTTTAAATAAATATTAAGTTTTCGAATGCTCATCTGTTATACCTATATAAATTGATTAAATTTCAATGAAATAAGAGTCATATTTATCAATGTAGCTTATTATTATTTTTCCCTTTATTATCCTTTATTTCCCTGGTGGAGTATTAATGTTTATATATTTTATTTTATCAGTAAATACAAAAGATTTTAATGTAATTAAACCRTGGTTTAAAATATAACCATTAAGAATGTATCTAAGTACAATTATAATCAAATTAAAACTACCTTATATTAAGCAATAATTGTACATWATTAAGTTACTAAATATATCATTATCTACTGGTACAAAATAAATTAAGAATAGAACTTCAAAAGCCTCTAAATACAGTTTTGTAATTTTGATAAATAATTATTATATATATATATGTATAATATATTATTATTGTTTGATTGTTTGTATTTATTATGTTTAGAAAATTTTAATTTTGGTAAACTATGATGTGGATGCAATTTGTGCTGCTAAAATATTTCAATATATATTACGTTTTGATAATGTTATTTATGTACTTGTGCCTGTAAAAACTATTACTGAATTGAAAAAAGTTTATGCGGAACAAAAATCAGATGTAAATAATTCAATTTTGTTTTATTTTATTTCATTATTTAACTCTTCTTTCAGTCAGAAAATAAAGACTATATATTTACTTACTGTATATTTTTTCCAATTTATAGGTGAAGCATATAGTGTTAATAAACTGTGGGGGTTCATTAGATATAATAGATATTTTAGAACCAGAAGAAGATATAATTTTTTTTGTAATTGATAGCCATAGACCCACAGACATCTGTAATGTATACAGTAGTTCACAAGTAAATATTACTACTTTTTATTAACTGAATAGTTTAATATCTAGGTTTTTGTATTCCAGATAAGAATTCTCGCGACTCCTGAGGAAGATGAAAAAATACCGGAGTATGATGATATATTTATTGATGAAGAGGTAAAATAAAATGTATTCTTATAAAATTAAAACTCTTAGGTGTTAGATTCTTACATTTAAAAAAAATATACAATTCTAGTCATCTGAAGAAGATTATAATTCTGATGATCTTAATGAAGACTTGGGTAATGATACTGTTGAGAAACGTCAAAACGAAAGAAGAATGCTTCAACAAAAAGCATTCATAAAAAGAAAAGAAAAAAGAAATTGGGAAGAAASWAGAAAAAAGCTTTTATTTGATTACACTCAATTTTCATATTATGGAAGATCGGTTTGTATTTTTTTTTTAAAGAAAAGTTTAACCAAGATTTTTATATTATTGAATTTTGTTTTTAGACTGCTATATTAATGTATGATCTTGCTTGGAAATTACATAGAGAATCTGTTGATGTATTGTGGTAAGCTTAAGATTTTTAGAAGTTTTGGAATGGGTATAAATAATAATTTAATRATTTATTTGTATTTGGTTATTACATTATAATTAAATAGTTTAATAATTAACCTGATAATTTAAAGTAAAAAATAWATTTTCAGGTGGGGTATTATTGGCGTAACTGAGCAATACATTTTTGGTAAAACTGAAAATATGCGTTACTTAAAAGAAGTTGAGTTGATTGGTGATCACATTGGTCGTATTTGTGAATCTGCTATTAATTATAAAGAGTCTATGTCACAAACTGAACCTTCAAACAATACTTCAAATTTAAGGATTGAATCTGTAAAAGAGTGAGAAATACTAAGCTACTAATTTACCTAAATACAGAAATTAAAATAATAATAGTATAATTCACAGTTTGTTATTAGCCTTATACAGACATTGGACAATTGAATCAAGTCTTCGATACTCAATGTTTACAGCTGTATCTTTAAAACTTTGGACTGTAAAAGGAGAAAAAAGATTGAAACAAATTTTAGCTGAGATGGGGTGATTATAATAACTTATTTTACTAATTATTATTTAGCATAGTGAAATAATTTTATTAAAATCTGCTGAAGTGTTTTTAAATAAATTATTTGGTAGCAACATTTTTCATATTAAAAAAAAAATTATATGTTATATATAAAATTAGGTTACCTTTATCGGAAAGTCGTCAAATGTACCATTCTATGGACTTAAATCTGCGAAAACAATTTTTTGGGATGATGGAAAAAATTTCCAATACACATAATTTGTTACACTTAACTTATCCTTCGTTCATATTACATCAAGGTTTTAAAACCCGATATCAATGTGCTGATTATGTTTACTCGATGATTGCTACTTTGGAAAGTAATGTAAGTTATGAAGATATATTATAAACATTGTATTACATTAACATTAAAAAAAAATGATTAGATTCATGGAAAATCATCTACAGAGTGTTTTTATAATACTATGGATTCCTTATCTCGGTATGTATTTGTAATAAATAAAATTATGATATTGCACAATACAATAAACTGATATTTAAATATGATCAATTATTATAGTGCCAAAAAAAATTTATTAGATGAAGGAATTGAAAGAGCCAAATGGATATTAACTAATATGTTTAGGCACATACAAGTAGCATTAGATATGAAACAAGTGATGTTAGCTGGTCCATTTTATTACTTAATTATTCAAGAGGTAACAAATTTACTGTAGCTAAATTTAAATAATTAAATTTATAAATTTATTTTAACCATTATAAATTCTAAGTGGATGAATGTATTGATTTTACAATGATTTAGGTTTCATTTTTGTGAGTTACTTTTTAGGGCACTTAAAACACTTTGATTTTCTACTTCAGCATCTGTTCTAGTAAGAAAGTGAATCCAATTGGTATTTAAGGGGTCAAAAATAAAAATAATTCTCAGTGGTTCAAAAGCGTCTGGAAATACAAATATACATTTATAGACATTTTGGAAGGTTCAGTGATGGACATGTGTGAGAATGGATGAGTTTTGGTTGCTGACCAGTAGCGTTCTTACGGTTCCTGGATTATAGGTTTCTTTATTGTTTGATATGTTTAAATTTTCAAAATGTTAAGATTAATTTTAAGCTATTCTCTATTTATATCATGATAAATTCATAGTTCTATGACAAAGTGGTATTGATTCAAAAGTTAACTAATACAATATAAATAAATATACATTATTATAATAACTAAATTTTTATAATTTAAAATAAATGCAATGTTTTAAAATAAATTACTTAATAGCAATATAAAGAAACATAAAATCAGAAATACACTTCATAGTATCTGACAGATTGTCTTTACCCACAATATTTTACGTTTACAATATTATACTACATATATATAGTGGCCCACTTGATACCTACTATATAACTCAGAAGTACTCAATTGTACACATTTTAAGTAAATTGAATTTATTAATTGTTGCAGGGAACTTTAAATTCACAGCATTATTCCGATCCTCAATTATTAATTATRTTAGCTTCATTTGCATTGAGGGCTCAAGTAGCATCATCTAATAAAAATAAAAATTCTCGTTTACCATTAATTGCTTCAGCAGTTCTTGATTCGGACCAAGATTCTTGTATTGTAGTCGGTATTCCTCCTATTACAGAATCATTGCCTAGAAGGTAAAATTTAAGAATTTTATACTTTTTTAAATTATTAATATACTTCTAGATTACAATAGTGGTAAATAATAAGTGATAGCTAATATTAATTAAAATGCAAGTTAAGATTAGAATATTTTATTATTACAAAACATTAAAGTAAGTTGTAAATCATGTTAAAATATTAAAGGTATGTGTTAGTAAAAAGATAGTTGTCCCTGCAATTATTACTTGATTGGCATTAATGATTGTTCCTCTTCCTATATATTTGGTTGAGACTATTTTTATTCATTTACTAAAAAAATGTATTTAATTAATTAATAATAAATACATTATTTATTATTAATTAATTCAAAATTAACTACCTACTAATTAGTAATAAGAAATCGGTTAATTTAAATTTAAACATTCAACTATTTCCTGCTTAACTAAAAGTGAATGYAATTTATTTTTAAATATTTAAAGTTTTAATATTATTTATCACTTTTGTAATTTAAAATTTGAAAGCTTTACATATTATAACTATTTTAATTGTTTCAGTTTTTTTGGAAAAGCATTTGAGCAAGTAGCTAATAAAACGAATATAGTTATTTCACTAGAATACTTTGATTCATCTATTGCTAAAATGCAAATTAAAGACCGTCCGACTTTTTTTGATGCATTAACAGCATTACTAAGTTGACAGTCTGTATTTATATAAAATATAAAACTATTGTTTAAGGGAAGTATTTAAACTAATAGCAAGTAATATTTATCATTTGTTTTTTTTTGTTTGTTGGAATTTTTTAAATATTTTAAGTTATCACATTTTAATAAAGATACAAGAGTAATGTATWATTGTCAAATAACTAATTACAAAAATACTATGTTTGATTTGTTTTTAARTTTTGTGGAAGTGTTTAATGTTTATAATATAGTTAATAGTTGCAATGAACTCAGACATTTTAGACTCTAGAGCGATGAATGTATTGCAATGATTTTACAACAATGTTTATTTTTTATTTATTTTATTTTAGTATTATTTTATGTGTGTGCACACGTAAGTTGTCAAAATAATGCTTCGATTTTCTACTTCAGTAGCTTTTCCAGTTGAAAAGTGAATCTAGGTGGTACATTGGTGAAGTAAAATTTTGAGATTCCCACTTCCCAGTATTTTCAAAAGCGCCGGAAAAAACAAAACSGGATTTTTTTTACGCGAAATCAATTTTAGAAATTAGTGCAACTCTAAAGCAAATTACCGTAGATACATGAAATYTCAATAAATGTTATCACTATTCTATCATTTTACATACTTGATAAAATTTTCAAAATATTTCAAATCTTTTTAAGTTATTTTATAGACATTTGAAATTTCATTMTTTTTAGTTTTTTTAAATGGCAATAAAATTTTATTATTTGGATAAAAAAGTCTCAATTTAATTCAATGATCCTAATATTTTAATACTACAGTAGTTAAAAAATATTAAAAATGCGTAGTAGCGTAGTCAATTTTAAAAAGCGGATAGTCGTGGATGTCGCTCTGCTGTACAGTAGCCAGTAGGTTACAAGTGGGTTACTGTAATGGATGGAATTAAATTTGAATCCAWTGATATATAATTGTATACGAAAAAAGWTTCTGAGCGGAGGCCGTTTATCTGACTARCAAAKATTATAGATTATTGAACATTTTCAAATCTTAGATTTAAAAAGAAAATTTTTTTGAATTTCTAGCATAAAATAATTTACGAATTTTCTTGATTTTTACGTATACTATGTTGTCAAAATTCAAASTTTGAATGCTTATAAAAAAAAATTGTGATTATGTATTTCTTTTATTTTTCAACTGCTATTGTAAAAATATG